TGCTCCTTTTTTAGCACGAAATCGTTTTTGGCGTTCAGCATTACTTAATACTTTTCGCATTGTAGCATGTTTTTGTGACTGCTCTTGTGTATGTTATTCATGAACGTCTGCTACAACTTGTATCTGAATAGGACTAAAAAATCAATTAATTTTGGCGATTGGAAGACGTTCTATCGGTTTAAAATAGACGGTAAAACGAGGAAGAGCCATAGAGACAGGATACACTTGACACACTATAGGTATACATAATGTAAGCCATAGCACGTATGTTCAAACAAAAAATTCTAACTGAACTAAAGGCAAAAAAAAACCAAGGCTAAAAAATTAAACTAAATTGAGAAGATTTAATCCTAAAGGAATCAAAGAGTATATGAAAGGAAAAAAATAATTTTTTTGTCTCCGATGAAAATAACTAAACAAGTAGGTAGTAATATTTTGCCAGTTCGGAACTTTGAATCGTGCAATACAATGCAAATGGACATCATCTGGGCAGCATCTGTACTACAGTCGGAGAGTAAAACATAGGGAATCGGTACCGGGATTCTATCGATACGACTTAATTTAATTTAATCTTTTTTTTTAAACGAATTTGCGTCCACACGGTGCCGCGGGCCCCCGCGAAAAAGCTCCTATCTTTCTGGTGATTGTGGGCTTGTTCAACGGTGAACAGCTCCTCATCCGTGAAGAGGATTTCGTCCCACTGAAGGAAAGCGTGGCGACGAAGGAGTCATCTTTCAAGCCGTACGCTCTTGTCGGTGAAGAGCTGAACTTTTTGGAGCTTGTAGGTCTTGAGATGGAGATCCCCTCTGGCTATTATCAAACTCACGCGCGATTATTCTCATGGAGACCCTACGATTTCGCCGGACACGTTCCCGGACGAACTCCAGGTTCTTGACGGATCTGACGGTGAGCTTTCCTCCACTTCCAGGACGGCGACCAGTATGGCCGACCTCTTCAAACCTCTTGATGGTTCGTCGGACGTTAGATTTGTCGATGCAGAGCGTTCCCGTAATTTCGCGCTTTTTCAACTCATGTAACTCCAACAATTTTTCCCTTTGGTTTGACATCTTAATACATTACCTTAAAAGTCTTGAATAACATCGAAACAAAACATATATGTAGTATTTTTAACGAAGAATCGAATAAAAACTTTCAAATCTAATAAATATTTATATCACATTGGTGAGAAATTGGTCATTTTTTTTATCGTCACTCGGGAATAAGTATAAGAATCCTCTGAATACTCAAACTGATTCTATTATGAAATAGAGACCTACTTACTTCAATTAATGAATTTGCATTTTTTAATTGTTTGGTATAGATAATATTTAAGCAAATCAATATATTATGCTCGACCAGATACTGTTTTATTAGGTCAGAACGCTGACACTGCCACCGATAAGCCGAGGTCTGATTCGGGATATTTTGATGGCACGTTTGGGGATGATGATTCTGACCATGAAGCAAATCATGGAAGCGCAGCTAATGGTACAGAAACATCTTTTGAATTTGATAACGAAACCAACAAGAATACAGGTATCATACAGGTTTTTCACTGATTATCCTATAATTTGTCTGTTTGAATGGATAGTGTTGTGGCATTTTTAGATACTTGCTTCAGCTATAATGTCCATGCGAAAACTTTCAGAATGTCTCCAAGTTTCACCTATTGTATGAGTAATGACCAAGTTTTAAATTTTGCTCAAAAAATTAATTGCTATAAGTTTAACAAACATTTTATTTGCGAGGTGTGTAAACTTCGAATATTAAATCTGGTTTCAGAAGAAGCAGCAGTACAGGATTCCAGAGAACCGCCAGAAACTACGATCTCACAGTCGAATACAGAAATCGAATGTTCTACTATTGAAACTTCAAAATTTTCCGACTTAACAATCGAACTAACGAATTTATCGAAATACGATATTGCTCAACTTAGAAATATTTCTGTCGATAGAGCTGCAATGAACAGGTCAATAAAAGAGTTTACGAAGCAAGGTTCTTCTGACCCCGACTCACTCTATCAAGCGTTGGAAAACAGTTACTTTGAACAGACCGACGATATGACTTCGATCGTATATGACAAAGCGAACAGTGATGTAGATGTACCATGTCATGGAGATTTCATCATTTTCTTAGGGTATTTTGACAAAGAAAATGAAATAGATGCAATGGAGTTCAAAAAAGCTGAATTGAAATCTAGAAAACGAGTATGTGTCAGTTGTGCTACTGCGGCAACATATTGTAATTGAACTATTTTCTCCAGAAATTGGTGGTAACCGATGTAGGTGAGCCGTGGCCGAAAAGAAAAACGCTATCAAAGCAGCAGGTTGAGAAGTTAAAGAGAAGTCGGATAGTGCCAGTTAACGAGCAAAAATGGGAATCCTTCTTTTCTATAAATTATCAGGCAGAGTCTGGTGAAGGTACTTAGATAGCTTTATTTGTTGCAATATTTACATGCAGTGTCAATTATTTCAATCCATTCTGATGACTACCCAAATATCAATTTGCAGGTGACATCAAAAGAGTCGAATATGAATCGGACTCGGAAGAAGAATCAGAAGACGAAGATATTAGTAATCATGAGGACCAAGCTTCGTCGGAATGCGAAACAACTCACACGGATCTTAAGATTCATGTTTCTGACTATTCTATCGAAAATGGAGCTAAAGAAAATAATTCAGACCCAGAAAGGCCGGAATTAAGTCAAGATTCAGGAGTGGAAGTTAGCAGAAGTAAGATCGCCAGATTGAATCTTTGGACAATTTTTGAAACTATTGTTTTTACAGGTTTGAATACTTCCGTCGAAGACTCCCCAAGTCAGCCATTAGCTGAAGAAAATTCTACGTCAAATCAAGTTACACCTACCAGTGCGACGCCTGGTTGTCCAGATCTTAGAAACGGTGCAATATATCCTGATTTAAGGGACGGTACCTGTTCAGAGTAAGTAAAATTAGATTTTACTAGGGTTATTGTTCAATTTATTTGATACTAGATTAACGATTTAAAAAAATTCTCATCGTTGAAAGGAGATTTGTGTGGCTTAGGATTTTATTGTCGTATACGCAAATATTTACTTTACACTGAAAATGGTAATCGTTTTTTACTCGGCAGCTTTTATATTTTGTCTTTTTTTACTTTTCTAACTGTAGAAGAAAGTGCCCATATAATATATGCAACGATTAGATCGTATAGCGCTTGGAACCTAAAAGAACTACCGATGTTAATTCTAGTTTGTTTTTCAGAGATACTCTTCCTGATGTATTTGAAATTGAAGAGGAACCACGCAAGTTGACTGCCGCCGAAGAAGAAGCTGAAAAGACAAGAGCTCGAGTAGAGGAGTGGTGTACTTATATTACCGCTAAGCTGAAAAAGGTCGAGGAAAAGGATTTTAATATTCACGAGTACGGCACAAAAATTATTAACAATATGGATATCAACGAAACTAAACCCTTTGGAAGCTTTGTGAGAGGGAAATCATCAGCTGAAGTAGTAAGGTAATACATACAATACATGTTCAGTTTGGCCTTTTCATGCGTAGGGAAAGGTTTTATCACGCATCATTATCCTAACAGCAACAGGAAAACTAAGCCAAAAATATTTGTTTTAGATTTTTTACTTCCTCTCTCCAACTGGCCAGTACACTTAATGTGGAAATATGTGGTGCACAAAAAGGAAAATTGTCCAACGACACTTTCCAGCTGAAATTATTAAGCAAGGAACGTTATCACGAACATTTACAAAACTATCAAGCCCCGTCCGAGGAAAATCTGCCTAATAAACTGGAAAAAATCAAGGAAATTCGCATGCAGAACAAGGTAAACAATCATCAGTATTGATATCGACCAGTGTGGCTATTGGTTTGTTCATTTAGAAGAGTCAAAGTTTGAAGCGTAAGGCACCGCAACCAAAAGAGCAGCAGTCGAGTACTCGAAAGAATAGTAGCAAAACATCCGTACCGTCCCAAACACCCAAGAAGAGTAAAATTTTGAAATACAACATGCTGAAGGGTTCGGATCAGGATTCGGTACCCATTGGTGCTTCTACAAGTGAAGAAGATCTCAGGTATATGCAACCTTCCACTTCATCGCAAGCAGACTTGATGGATCAGCAGGTAAATGCAATTTAGCTGCAACACTTCACTTTCAATAAATGTTTTAATAACGAGATTTCATATTCAAGCAGAATTTTCCGTTATCTTACAACCATGACGCGTAAAGCCTTATTGGAATAATTTGCTGGGTCGTGTTATCAAAATCATTTTTATTCTACGGTTTTGGCAGCAGTAGACTTGTGAGCACAAAATTGGGTTGGTAAATTTTCATATTTTTTAAATTTTGAGAGTGCTCATGTACTTTATGGCTGTCGGAGTTTCGCTTTCTTGTTAATTTTCCCTCAAAGTACAATAAAAATAAAGCAATTTCAGTGAAAAAAAAATGCAGATTGTCCATAAACTCTCAAACTTGTTGTTCCACACGTTACACAAATGAAAAGGACCCGAAACGAAGCACATGAGTGAATAATTCATTTAAATATTAATTCAACTCTTTTTCAAGGTTCAAAAAAATTTTGATTACGTGAGACTAATGTATCTTGAGGACATCAAACTTCAAACGAAGAAACAAAACAAGTTTTGTGTTCCAATTTGATTATTCTGTATATGATTTGATAGAATTAATTTTGTCAGTTAATATTTTCAAGCAGTACGTTGACAATGTGAAAATAACATAAAATAGTTATAAATTTAGTCGCATTGAACGAAATTTCTTGCAGGACGTGTTAGACTCTGCAATATTTGAAATACATGGTCCGTCTAGAATCAGTGTGGATAGTGGTTTCATGCCATCGTGCGACGAAGATTTTCTTGAACAGTTTGAGCAGTTACAACATATGAGTGAAAACTGTTCCAGCACGGTTAACACTCCAACAATAATCGGTTAACCGATGAAACCCCTATCGTCAAATACATACATTAAGAAAATGACGTAGCTTCTTAAAAAGTGAAATGTAAAGTATTGTTTAGTCGACAGTCGAGCCCTATATTACGGATACATAGATTCGGTCTTATAGTGGTGCATTCAGTTTCATTTGCAACAATGGTTAGTGACCGTTAGTCGATTTTTGGGAACAGTGGTCAATGTTTTAGTTTTAAAAGCTCTAAGTATGGGTTTTTAGCAAATTCTTTAACCAAAACGTACCTACGAAATATATGTATAGATGTTTATTTTTTTAATCACGTTAGTACAATTTATTCTATAATGTTGGCTTAAAACCAGAAAATGAAAAAAAACAATATGATCTTGCTACTGATATTGCTGATATGGTACAAATCATATCTTTTATTTGAAAGAATTATCCTTATTAGGGACTCTCAAATTGCAATCGAGTTTATTAACGAAGTATCGTCTCAATCGACACATATTGTTTTTTCAATCAAAAAGCTTTTAAAAATATATTTTTATATTTGAATAAGTTTTAGTATGACCACAGAAAAACGATTAATTTATGTAAATTTACTTCATAACGGCATTAAATGTGTTATTGCATTGCGAGGCTGATGCATGCATCATAACAATACGAATAATGTTTACATTATTCATAATATAATTAATAACTTTTACTATTCCTTTTTGTGGAAAATACATTAGTATTTGCTTTAAGTTAAGGCTCAACCTTTCTGATTTATTTTCTTATTTTTTGCAATGTTTTTGGTATTGGAATTCTACCTAATGTTTCTTTTCTTATTTGCTATATATTTATTATACAGACATGTATTAAAAGGTGTTAAATAAAACTATTGGCATTGTTTCTATTTGTTTGAAAGGGCCTGGTCCGGTTCAATATTGTTGCAAACATTTTCTATTGCATTTTATAACCCCGCCGAAGACATGCTTATAAATTCAATCTGTTAAATATCACGTACAGTTTAGTAAAAGACAATGTTAAATGAAAATACATATAACAATTTAATTCTGTAAACGATGGTAGAAATGGGACAACTATTATTAATTACAATGTTATCAGTAAATATTATCGAAAAAACAGTCTATTAAGTACATTTCTAATAGAAAACCTATGCTAGGAAGCTAGCCTCTGTTTGAACTTTTTAAGAAATTCTTTGGCTTGTTTATCACCCAATCTATGCTCCAAAGCTTTAATCGTGTCCATCTCTGTAAGCAAGTCAGTAAAAATAATGTTTCTTAAGACAAACGAACTGTTTTCAATGTATGACTTACCAAACGATGTCGGTCTTCCCAGCCATTTCTTAACTTGAGGTAAGTTGCTAAGTGACTCACTAGTGATTGGAATATCTTTGAATCTTAGAAAAGCTTCTCCTATATACTGATTGTTGTAGCCTAGCATATCTTTGTCTTTCACACTAAGTAATACGAGACCGTCTTTAATTTCTCTTTGTTCCGGTGATAAGTTTCTGGAAAACATTAGCATACATGAAAATAGTACTAGAAAGTTATGTCAATTTAATTACTTACATTGTAAATGTTTCGTCGTAAAGTGGAAATAAAGTTTTATTATGAGTTTTGGTTTTTGGCTTGTCTATGCTACTGAATTTATGTTCGGGTAGCAAATGAATTCGGACGAAAGAATCACTAGCTCCTACAAATATTTCGTTTTAACTTAAAATTGGAATTAAATCGGTTAACGCATATTTTACCACTTGAATCCATTGCAGCTAAATCACGTGCATTGATCACTTCAACTTGGAGAACATCTCCATCAAATTTACACCTAAATGAGATCTCGCCATACGGCGATTCTGGGAGTTCATCGAATTTTTTAGCTAGTTCTAAATGAACCTACGAAAAGTGAAGTTGATAATTGCAGTTGTATTATTTTGTATAAGTGAACTTACTTCGTGTATGAGATCAGAGGTTTCCAGCCCATTTATCCTTAAAATTTGCTCAGTTCTTTTCAAAGAATCACAACTCGTGCAGTCTGTGGGATCCTTGTATGCTCCCAGCATTAATTTCAAAGTTTTTTGGAGATTGGCAAAGAATGAGGGCGGTCGTCTATTCTAAAGTAAGGAAGAAAGGCGTACACACCTTGGAAATGTATGCAATAATAAAAAAATCATTCATCAATTCATTATATTTCAAATTGATATTGATTTAAAGAAATGCGTTCACTTCCACTTACCTCCAAGTTTGTCTGAATAATTTCGTCCAATGTTTGACTTAGCATATCCCAGACAATTTCCAGAGTCCGATTAAAGTTTTCTTCATTTAACTCTCGGTGCATTGTTTCCAAATTTCGGTCCACATACGACATCAGTCTATCTATACTATTATTGTCTTGGTTGCATAACTCCGCACCTTCGATGAGGAGTCGTTTCATGGAAGGGGCCATCTAAAAGCACAGCATTGTACCAACCAGCATTTTGAGTTGAGCTAATGAGTTGATTTGATACCTTTTGAACCACTGTTTGTAAAAGTTCGATAATGGCATTCCGAACTGTGTCAATAGCATTGGAAATAACCATATTCAATGTATCTCGACACCTTTGAGCGTCGACCGGACTTTTCAACTCCAATATTTTCTTGAGAATCTCCTCCATTCCTAAATCGTTAGTGAATGGTTCCAACGTTTCCCTCACATAGTCGATATTGTTGATAGCCAAACACCATTCGTTTGTTACTTCGAATTTTTTTTCGTAAATGTTTTCAATATCACCCATTCCATCCACTTTTGATGCCATTTTTTCCGCATAGAAGATACAACATCTGCAGATATCCTAAAGGTGTCAAATAGAGTTAATGGTTTATCGTGGGAAAAAATACTAGAGTTAAGTTACTTACATCGATGATTTTAGCAATGAATGTGTAACAGCTCTCTACATCAGGCCAGTTCAGTTGTTGCCAAAAGGTATTCACCTGAAAAATACAGTCAGTTTTGGTTGATGTTGTTGGGTTGAAGAAACATTGCTATACAATGAAATAATATTAACATTCAAGCTTGTAAACATGCGAATTCTGTATTTACGTATTTTCAATAGATATAGAAAAATAATTTTCGTTTCTTGTAGAGACATTTGTCCTTCCATATTCATATTAAATGGCCAGGTTAAGCATTTGTCTCCAAATTACTCGAAAGGAAATATGATAGAAATTGGCAGATTTTTAATCCAATCCGACTTTACCTGATAGAAAATTGTTAAGGTATCCACTGCAGACGAACTATATTTCACGGAAGTATCAATATGAACGAGCTGATCCAATTCGATGGCTTTCTCGATTCGTTGAAGAGCTTTATAGACCGCTATGTCTAACCATTGGGCGACTCCTGCATGGAACCACTGAAAATAATCCGAATGGATTAACATTACAAATATATTAGAATGAATAAAATATTAATACCTGATGGAAGTTTTTGATATGAAATCCGTTATAATCCGAAGGGCATATTCCCTGACCCAAGATGACAAATCTTTGAATAGTGAGGTAAAGATCAAACAGCGAAGTTCCTTCCGCCAGAGGATCGACAGTGGGATCCGTATTAACAGGACCATTGCCAAAATCGTAACCTGAATAGTCTAAGGTTTTGAGGTTTTTGCAGATTTGACGCACCTCTGGCTCGCACAGTGTCGATATTTTCGCTTGGTAAAATATGTAAAGGCTTTTAGCGTATTGGAAGTTTACATGTCTAAAATCAAATAAAATGAACGTTATACAACAACTAAAATTGCCCTAACTTTGGAACTGTATACATTCTGATTGCTTCAAGCGATTTGGGTTCTGTTGGAAGTGTTATTTAGCACCATTTGTGTCCTGTCGTGGTAAAAATTAAGCACCTCAGATAAATGTGATGTGATTCAGTGACAAATGAAAAAATGCAAAATTTTGCAAAGTTCGACATGCTCTTGGTTGGACAAAAATTACCTTTTTTGGATATCAACACCAAAAGTTTAAATATTAACCAAATAGCTCGAAACGGTTCTTGAATTTTTCGACCATCTCTTCATCAAAATCAACTTTTTGGTCTTGCAGCAATGGCTTTTCCGTTATTGATCCGATTTTTGCGGTCTAGCGCTCATGTTGAAGGTAAACCTTCATAGACAATTTAATATACAGGGTTGCATACTAAAGGACCAAAAGCAGAATCGCCCCCAAAACCTGTGATTCCAGCAGACTTTCAACTGAAGTGAAGTCCACTTTCAAATATTTCGTTCATTCACGCAAATTGGATCATTGATTCTTTTTCATTAGTCGACTGCGACGTTTTGACTTGACAAAATGAACCTTAGATTTTGTTAATGGTTCAAAAGAAAAAATGATCACTGCAAACCAATACGTTGATTTTTTGAGACGACCCTGTAAATAAAATAGATGAGCGAAAAATTCAAAAACTTTTTTCGAGATACGAGGTTGATCTTAATGCATGCTTAAGTCTGTAACTGAAAGCATGTGGAATTTTCATCATAAGTGCATTGTTTCACTTACCACCCTGTAAAAACTTGAGTTGAAGCACATTTTTTTTGCAAAAATACGCACTAACCGAAAAAAAGTTGCACTAAATAACGCTTCAAACGGAAATCAAATCGCTCTAAGCAGTCAAAATTTATACAGTTCTAAAATTAGTCGAAATTCAATTTTTTTAAACGATTGAATCATTGGATTGTCTGCATTGAAAACGTTTTTCAGTGTCTTCGCTGAGGACCAATTTTCGTAATCTGTTTTTCCAGAATTGACTTGCTCCTCAACGTCTTTACGGTTCCATACAGCCCATTTTACAGTATGTTATGCGGAATATGAATTTAAAATAAAAACAAGAGAATTTTCAAAAATAACATACTTATTCTAAAAAATTCACGTGAGCGTTATGGTTTATTTAATATAATTACTTAAATACCAGAAACACTTTTTGGCGCTAAAAATAGAACATTTTTATATCATGTTTTCTTTCACGTTCTATTGCTATACCACCAAAAAGAGGGAGTCGTTTGACTCACCCTGTATATTCACAATTGAACCTCTGCAATCGATTAAAAAACATTCCCGGCCGAGGAAAAAAGTCAGCTTTTACAAGTGTACTTACTCTATAAAAAGTTTGTCATAAAACTCGATAGCTTTCTGCAAATCACTTCGAACCAATTGGAGTAGCTGAATTAAGTTCTGCAGTCTAGCTAAAGCAGTTTCAGCGGTCGCTTTGTTATTTTCGATCAAGTAATTCAACCAGTCACCAGCTCCTTTCGAAATAGCATCTTGCAATGTTCCTGCAATATCACAGTTTGGATCGTCTCCATGGAACGTTATCCAGGGGTACAGGTTTTGAGGAAACAAATCGATATTGGTCGGCTCCAACGCCATCACATAGTTAAAAATCTTCAAGACTTCAATTACCTGGACAAAAAAATGATGATTTTATTGCACTGAATGTGTGATGGACTTTTAAATTTTACCTGTTTCATCACAGTCTTTTCGTTTGCATTTTTCTTTCGGATCCTTCGTATGACGGCGAAACAGGAGGGAAGCAGTTTTCTGGTAGCCTCCCAAAACAACTTCATGTCTTCTTCGAGAATCATCTCAGTTTGAAGGGGTTTCAGAAGTTTTTCCAGTAATTTCGAAAATATACAGAAGCTTAAAGGATGGCTTTGGTGTATACCAGCGTACACTGAGTAGGAACAAAGCGCTACTTCTGTAGGACTTAGTCCCGATTGTGCGATGTGCTGGGTAAGTAGTTGATTTGCTTCTGGACCGAAATTTTCGCACCACCAATAAGCTGCGGGCTAGATATTTAATTAAATTAGACTGGTAATCTGCTTTTGACCATAAAATTATTGTGTTCATGTTAGGAACTAGACCGACTAATGAAGCCATCAAGTTCTGGAGTTAATTTCCTAGCGATTTCACATAAATTGCTAATCGAAAAATGCTTTTTTAGTATGGCTCTTTGAACCTGGAGGTTGGATCTTTGTTTTTTCATTGTTGAGATTTGCAGTTAAGGTATTTTGGGGGTCAATTGACAATTTTAATTATTTGGTTTATTGTTATTTAACATTTGCTACCTTTGTTTGTCCGTCTAGATCTGGACACCCTGTAGTGTTACTGTTACATATTATACAGTATGGACGCGTGGGTTGGAACAAGATGATTTAAAATGAGTCGTTTTTGGAGGAACCCATATAAATCTCGAGCTTTATTTTATGTTGCTGTGGTTTCCTCTATGGACAAATTCACTTGTACATGATAGATAAATTGCAATAATTTTCTTTTTATAACTTCATTTTTTCAAATAGAAACATCTGTTGCGTTTTCCATTTTGGAATTCTACAGGGTGTCCCGTAAGCACATGATCAAAAGGATACTGCGATATTATTTGGATCAAAATAAGACGATCTCACCTAACTTTTATTATCAAAAAATGTCTGGCTTCTCTGCTCTGTTGGGCAAAGTTCTAATATTTATCTTTTTTGAAATATTGGGAGAATGGTACGATGTATTTTGGTGAAACTCGCTGTGAATTTGTTCGTATATAAGACTCATATTTTAATGAAACAATCGAATTTATCCGTTTTGGACAAGTGGTGAATTCTTGAGTGTCGTGGTACAAAAACTACCAGAACTTTTTGTTTGGTCGATGGAATCAACTCTTTTTTTTTGGTTGATGCACTAATCATTTATTCACAATTTTGTGCTCTTTGTAAAATCGTGTAGCATTCATAGTTTTTGCGCAAAAAAATATGTCTGTTATCTTGCGATTTAACAAAGTTAGACATTAACTTAGTTATTATTAACTTCACGTAGCATGTGTTGAACTCAGGTTCATTAAAAAATGTCTCTTTCATCGGGGGCCTCAATCGGAATTAGGCGATTAATTATTAATAATGAAGGATTCTCTAAATGATCTGTAAATAATGTTATATTCAAATAATACTCAAAATCGTACATATTTTCGTATTGATTGATACACTGTTAAAAATCAAAGCTGATTAAAAAGTAATGCACGCAAATTAATCACTAACGCTTATGACGATACAATGTACACCAACTTGAGTGTTTGCAACTGACCTTAATTAGAACTTATGAATTATCATTTTTTATTGGCCAGCAGAAAATATTTCGGATACTCGATTCTAAAATCTAAAAGTCGGGATTCTAAAATGAACTACATACTCGTTAATTTCATTTCAAAAAACTGAATTGACAAATCAGCTTCTGTTAGGAACGCTTTTGCTTCAGAAAAATTGCAGCCATTTCTCAGAAACCCAAACCCCGTAGTTTAAGTTAAGCTGAATCAATTCAAGCGTCTTCTGTATAATATAAATGACCGCAACTCAACATATAACAATCCAATTTGTCATCTGAGTTAGGGCTTTAAACTTACCTTCGATACGTCTAGTTCATGTACCAATATAATCCGTCTTATATGCCTATGCTCTTGAGCTGCTACTTGATTATTTTTGCCCGAACTGAAGCAAATCCTCACTTTCAAAACCCCCTGCCTTGTTATTTTATTCTTCTTATCTAGCGTATACCACATCGTCATACCGCTTGCTGGAATCGTCTTTAATAGAGGAAAGAGTCAATTAATTAATGATGTTTTAAAGTCCGTTTTTTTTTTATCTAAATTAAATTAACTAATTAATAGTCACTAACATTCAGTGGAATTTTGGCTCTTCCAATCAGTTCGTTGTCATGCTGGCCTGTTGCAGCGGTGACCGCGATTTCCTTGACCAATTTCCGCATTCCCTTAACGCCCTTTACATCGAATAGCTTTCCCAATTTTTCCTTGACGGTTTCAGCGGGATCGAAGTCCCATACTTCCAGGCAAAGAGTATCGTCTATAGACTTGTCAGTAATGGGTCTACATAAACGGAAAAACACGTTTTGAATTGTTGTGTTAAGTGAATGTTAATATACGTACAATGCAAAATGTTCCTCCCAAACAGGATTCAGCGTAGTGGGTTTCACTGATGTATTATATCGATGCGAGGTATTAGACGCTAAATATAACGTGACGAATGGATCACTATTTCCATTCGAGTCTTTGGGTCTTAAATCTTTGGCTTCAATAACTTCCACGTTGATTATCAGTTCTGGGTCCTCTTTTTTCTCCGCCAAGTCGAGAAGCTGCAAATGCTTGTTGTGGGGAACTCGGAAAGCATCTTGAGCGTACGAGAACAAGGAATTTTGGGGCACTTCCAGATTGACATCGCAACCGACGTTGTGCAGAATAATGTAGAGGATCTCTGTGTATAACTCGTCAATCTAAACCAAAGAAGTATTTGATAAATCCATTGAAGTGCACTATGATTTGTAAGTTTGCGATTGACTAAAAAAGAATGTACAGCATTCTGTTTAAACTAACTGCTCTTAAAAGAGATTGTTTTTAAAAGTGCTTAATGATTCTGGGGGCAGATGGGTGTTTTTAATTAAATCTAACTCAATCTAAAGAAAATGGAAATAATGCACCACTACAAATAGGGCGTATTGATATTCATCGCATTTGAGATGACGAACTAATTTGAGACGAACAACTTTTCTATTTTAAGTCACCAAATGTATAATTGCCGACTTCATCAATCATAAATACATTTCTCCATCCAACTTTCAAGTCTTATCGGATAATTACTATTTTATGCTTACAACAATTTCTAATATTTTTTAATAAAATATGGAAGTCGGTCTACCTATAGACCATACTTACTCTCAGATAATTTCAACAATGAGCTTAGGAACTTAGATTACAGAACATAGAACAAACTCCTATAAAAAAGCGTCTACTGACTTCTTGCATTGAATTACTGGAATGGCGACCTAAAGGTATTTTGATCGGTGATCTATTAAAGTTTAGCATATTTTTGTATTGAAACCAATAAGATATTATTATTATTAATATTAAATGCGGGGAAGGATAAAAGTAAGGTCGTTTGGATAAAAATTTATAAAATTACAGAGATGCAATTTCGAACACAGGTATTAACTGAAGCAGAAAGCCACCGTTAAAATGGCCAATAATGTTTCGATTAGCTTTTTACCAACTAACAACAAGAAGAATGCTTATTCTTCATTCAAAACAAAATTGAGAAAAATTAAAAACTCGTTTTTCAATTTACCAGTAACTGAGATATGGCCACCATTAGCCTAATGTTTTAGCTCAAAAATCTGCCTCACCTCTTCAAATTTAATTTAGTTTACACCATCCTTTTACAACAATTTATGTATATTACAAATTAATGTATTCATGGTAAATTTTTAGAGCTGACTCACTAACCAAAAAAAGTTTATGTTTATTATTCATTAAATGTAATACATCAGACGCTCTGATCAAATATAAATCTAAATTAACGAGGTTTGTCCGCACAACACTATCAAAATCGCGGTTATTTTGAAAACAAAAACGAACTAAGCAGAAGACGAACATTTAAATGGCAAATAGTTTGAAAAAAGACTACAAATCCTCTGTGTTAAAAATTGAGCAGAATATTTGTGATATTACGGCTTTCGCTTTTTTAATTCGACCATAAAAAAAGTAAAAAATATTGAGAACGCGTTTTTCAATGAACTGGTAACTGATATACAGTGTGGGCCAACGAAAAGGTCGCACCGTGCCGTATTTATGACTCCCTTGGTAGATTTAAAAATAAACGCTCGAACACGTCAACTTTGATTTTTAAGGGGACATCTTGCTGACTATCATTACATTATACAGGGTGTTTCATAAACAACATACTACGTCACACTTTCGATTTTCAAAAGGAAACCTATTAGTTTAATGTCATTTTTCGATCCGAGTAGTATCTGGTTTATGAAACACCCTGTATAATGCAATAGACAGCAAGATGTCCCCTTAAAAATCAAAGTTGTGTTTGCGCGTTTTTTTCTAAATCTACCAGGAGAGTCATAAATAGGGGTGCGACCTTTTCGTTGGCCCACCCTGTATAAGAATCATGCAACTTTTTTTGCTCTGAACAGTGCCTCACTCTGTACACATTTAATTTAGTTAACACCGTCACATTAGAATTGATGGTTAACAGAAAAAAATGTTTATCATTCAACACAAAGTTAATAAAAACAAAATTAAACTAAAGTTCGCCCGGATAAAATAAAAAAAACTAACTCGTAAGCAGAGGGCCAACGTTTAAACACCATCTATTTTTCAATTAATAATTAATATAAAAATATAGTCAAACATGCCTCTAAATTGAAATCAGTAAAAGTAGAATTTAAAAAATAAAACTATAAAAATAAAAGTTATGATAAAGAATTTTTCTAATTCTAATTAACTGTGGATATTTCATCAAAAACTCCAAAATTTGTGGCGCTTAATGTTTTCTTTTTATATAATATTTGACTTTTAAAAAAATGTCATGTTAAGTATGTGTGTGTAGAAAGCAACTTACACAAAAAATATACTACTTAAAACTGGATTTTAATTTTTGTTATTTTATAGTAGGTACCTAATTAAAATTACGAAAAACTATCAGATCTACTTAGACTCTAGTTTATATAATGCTTGCTGTGTTTCAATCGAATTAAAGGTCAGTTATTCTCGTGTAGATCGAAGTGTGTTTAAATAGAAAAGCTCATGAATTAATAATTTCAAATCATTGCGCATAGATCGAACTAAAATTAAGAAGCAAGGCACTTTACATAATTCTTTAATGTCATTTGCAGCATGTTATTATATATTTTAGCATTTACACCTTTATTAAGGTAAGAAAATAAGATGCTAAGCCAATTTAACAATCCGTTCAATTAGGCCTTAATAATACATATCGAAGACAACTTTGCGAAATAAATTAAATCAATTTTGCATTTTGACTGCAAAAACAAAGTCGCTATAAAACATTTTTAACCGCACAGCCAAACTTTGGAAAAGTTTACCTTTATCATACTGTGGTTTTTTAAGAATTACGAAGTTTTAATAACGACTTACGGTCATCGACGCTAAATACATGCTGGTCTGTCTTTGAAGTTCCTCCTTCTTGATGCCTCGAAATTGATTTCGAGGTAACGACCTTTTCCTAACTGGAGGTGCATATTTTGAGGGCCCGATACCATTCAAAGCTATTTCAGATACGCTTGATCTAATCATCTTGATATCACTTATAATTTGAATTATCGACGGCCTTTAATGATGACTTGAGCAAAACGACCGACCGCACTATTGTATGGAGATTTTTAAATTAAAGTAGGTACTTCAATTCAAAGTAGTTCATTTCACAGTCAAATTTTGCCATAAAGAGTACTATTTCGAAAAGTTGGAATAATCACACAATCATGATAAAATAAAACGGTAAATCACTAACGTTTTTTACAATTCACACTAAGTTCGCGTTGCACGTAAAAAAACAGCCCCTAAAACCCTCACATTGAACTCGAATTGTAAAACCGAATCAATCAGCGAAAAACTGAGGATAAGTATTACGGGATTGAATAAAGCCGTGCCAAAATCTATTCTGGTAAAGATGCGTGCTCTCGCTTTACCGTTTGCAAAGAAAATACAGTTTCACGCGTTGAATTATGAATAATATCCCCAATTTTCAGCCATTTCAGTAAGGAAATTTCGTGAAGGTTTAGGGGCAAAACGGATCGATATATGTGACGGAATAAAAATATTGATCAACCCAAAAGCGGCGGCCGTACAAATTAAGAACACTTTGTAATGCATATACATAATGTTATTTGGGCAAGACATAAGTATTAGACAATAACAATGCAAACTAAACTGAATCGGAAGTTAGCATGCAACAGTGAACTGCTTGTGAATGCCTATTTTAATCTACACATTTCAAAATAGACCTATCGAAGTTAATTAATGTATGTATACGTTCAAACATAAATGTATGATCCAAACAAAAAACGCGTGTATAAACATAACTTTGTAATGTGCGTGTTACTTTGAATATAATGACTGTAACAGTATAAACAATAGTGCCTCGAAGCATCGAACATGTTACATATTTGAATCTGTTTCGTTATTTAATAGAAAAATCGATGAAATAATCTTTAAATCGTAAAGGAAGTGAGTTCCTGATATGTTTTTTTTAATTCTATTATATTTCGCAACATTGATAAAGATTCTAGTGTGAATTCCCTACATGATAAATTATCTGAAAACCATGTTTACATGGAATTTTATTATATGTATTCCTATTACTAGTGCTCAGAATTTTTTTAAATCTGAAATTCGAATACTAGTTTAGTGGTTTATTCGAATATTCGAATAATCAAGTAATCGAGTATTCAACAAATATTAGAGTATTCAACTAGTGAAGAAATTGTAAGTACATTATTTCAATGTGATGATCAAAAACCATGTAAATATACAGGATTTTTCACAGCCATCCCCTCTAAATTTTCAAATGGTATCATAGCATGTGTGGCACATCGAATTTCTTTATACTTCAATTTTATATGAATGCACAAAATAAATAATTGAACACATTTCTTATAAAATAAGGAAATGCTTGTAGAATATGAATAATTTATTTTATAAAACTATACCAAGTGCATATAAAGATATTTGCACTTTGTGAGTTTGATAATGTTGGTGTATTCGAGTAAGTATTCGAATATTCGAATAACCGAATTTTCGAGTTATGACTAGACATAATTATCCGTTTTTTGAATTTTTAGCACTTAAATTATTTTATTTAATGTTCTACTAATTTGAGGAGCTCTAAACCGATGCTCTGAGTTAATATAGAAATAAAAAAAATTTTAAACAAAATTTAAAAAATCCTGTATTATTTTGATCAAAAATAATCGAATTAGAAGCAAAAGGATGCAAGTCATAAAACTTTAAAATGGTGAAAATCGTCTAAAGCTTATTCTAAAATCTCGCATACGTTAATTTGCCATACTTTTCGACAAAAAATGGAGTTTTTGTATTATAGCTAGTACTCTTATTCAACGGTGTAAATTTGAGTTATTTCTACAACAAATAATTGCTGCACCTTCTTTGACATTTCTTAAGTTCGAACCAAAAGTGTTGGAGTTTGGGAAAAATAAAATTTTTATTAGAGAATAGTAAATCACTTATCACGCTCTATTTTCTTCATTCGTCAAGTTTAATCATCCAGTTTCTAAACTTAAAAAAATTACATCTTCAATGCAAATAAAGGGGCTGGTTTCAATAGAACGGGCCTCCTCATTTCGCAAAAACTCGCTCTGAGTATCCGAATAATGAATTTCCAGGCAGCTAGATTGGTAGAAGAGAACCGGTTGAATGGCCATCGATGTCTTCGGACTTAACACCTATGGATTAATTCTTATGGGGACACTGAAAAAGCAACGTTTTCAGGTTAAACTGAAAAACATTGAGGAATCGCAAGAACGAATACGACAGGAATACAAGCTAAATTCTTCCGATTTGATTAGAAATGTTCCAAACGAGTTTCAGTACCGTTTAGGTTATTGACCGGAATTGATAACATTTTAAGAATTTATTGAGTTGAATGATATTTCTTCATTTTTCGAATGAGTTGATGTTTGTCAAATTTCTTTTAAACAAGAGATAAAAATTTACTTTCTCTCTTTTGAAAAATTATTAAAAGACGGTCTTTAATTTGATGAATTTATTAGTTAGAAACTCAAGTCTGTACTTATTCAAAATCAATTTTTTGTCATCCTGGCTTTAAGAACATATTGGTTTCTATAAAGAGACGTAACTGAAGGCAACCAAAAAATAATTCAAATTTTTGCCTTCGAATAATTACACAATTCAAACATGTTGGCGACGATGATTAGATAAAATCATAGCTCCTATTGACTATATTTGAAAAATTATTATTTATCAGCAGCAATTTTATTTCATAGTTCTGAGAAGTCAAACGATGTTAAGTCATTAAAATCATCATCAGGGTGATGATGTTAGCTTTAAGGACACGTATATAAGTATCAGTAAGAAGGATGTAAACCTTATTTGAATAAAACACATATGTTCAAATGTTCGTTCTGAGAAAACTCATATTGAAGTTTTTTTATTGGAGCAATATTAATCGAAAGGCGTCCTAAATAACGTGACAAGGCACGGATGCTTTTATTTTTATCCGCCCACTTAAAATACCGTGTAAATTTCCAATTTATTTTTGAAAGACGCTTTAATGTTTAGAAAGCAGCTCTGACGTTTTCGCTCCCATTCAAGCAGTACTTTGCTTCATTAGGAAGGTTTACACCAACGTATTTAACGCTTACTTGAATGAAACAGAAAAAAAAATACATTTACAAAAGCAAATAGGAAATTATAATAAAAGAAAACGAAACTAAGTACTCTAGTTTCAGTATTACAATTTATAATATTTAAGTTATGAATTATGAAAATAAATACTAGGTTTCAAAAAATTGTTGAAAATTAATATACAAGCGTATTTTGAGGTGAAAATGGTGGCATCAAGTTTCATTGCATAATACGTAAGCGAGCCAGATCTACAGAGCTATTTTAAATGATTTCTATATCCAACTTTGACTTTCTAAATGGAACAGGCATTAATTTGTAACATTTTTTTAAACCGATGCAATATTTATATATATTTATCATCTGCTGCAATTATTCTCGTCCTCGCTAAATCTCAAGTTAAAATATACAAGGTGTCCCGTAAGCTCATGATCAAAAGGGTAGTGCGATATTCTTTGGACCAAAAGAAGACGATCTGACCTAACTTTTATTAACAAAAAATGTCTGGCTCCTCTGCTATCAATGGTCAATGTTCATCAAAAAATTTATCTTTTTCGAAATGTCGGGAGAATGGTACGATGTATTTCAGTGGAACTGGCTATGAATTTGTTCTTATGTAAGACTCATATTTTGATGAAATAATCGAGTTCAGCCGTTTTGGACAAGTAGTGAATTCTTGAGTGTGGTGGTACAAAAACTACCTTAGTTGGAGGATAAAATCAACTCATTTTTTTAGGTTGATGCACTAATCATTTGTTCACAATTTTGCGCTCTTTGTAAAAGCTTGTAGCATTCATAGTTTTTGCGTAAAAACATATGTCTGTTTTCTAGCCACGACACATTTTTCTAGTATCTAGCTAACTATTCCAACTAGACAGCAAAATTTCTGGTTATGAACACACATATATTAGTATAATGCTATATACGGAGTGTTATTTAAGTACGTAGCCAAGCTGTAGAAGGCAATTCTCTGAGTGAATGTAAGAAAAAAAACCGGAAAACCGTAAAATTACTCATAACTTTTAAATTTGAATTAAATTCATTCATTGGAAGCAATTACCGATATTGAACGTTAAATCGTTATGAAGTTAAAATTAATTCAAAATATCCGCATTTGAATAATTACCTTCTTAATTCATAATATCACTTTAGCCACTGAACATTTTCATTACTTTGAATGTATATTCAAATAAGTTCAATATAAGTTATTTTTTATGAAAATAATTATTTGGACTTTCACGTGCCTCGAAGTTGAAGACCAAAGAACAACCAAACAGAAACGCCTTCAGATTTGGTGATTTACATTTAGGCCAACATCCGATCAGTGTGACCAAATACATGGAATTAAATAAAAAAAAATAAAAGATTGTTGAATACCCGCTGAGTAGACCCAGCAAACACTAACACCTAAACGAAGTCTCGTATGTATTCGTCTAGTAAAAATGAATGACCTGCAGGTCATAGAACTATATTTAACAAGCTTATTTGTCTAGAAAATGTTGCAAACCACATTGCCTTTTCCACGGTTTAAAAACAGGTCAATTTTCTTTTTAACTGTCGACAGATTCTTCCAATTATAATCGCCATGAGCTGGCTCTAGTTAATTACATAAACCAAGTGCGCGATCCTCTTTGCTACAACCTGCATACAACAACAATCAAACCAGCTTTACGATGTACACAGGCTTTTACACTTGAAGTTTTAATGATCCTATTAATACAACTGATTTGAATGTCTGTATGACTAGCGGCATTGAAACATGTTTATATTCGCTACTAAAATCATTTTTTATGATAAGTAGTGTTTATGAAAGCAAATTAACTTACGTTAAAAGCGGTAGCTATAAAGTCGTTTTCAAATTCATTTTCGTCGATTTGGGAGTCTGAGGACGACGTCTCACTATCGACAGAAGCTGGTGGCGTTTCCGGTTCTTCATCGTCATCCTCCTATGGAAAACAGGTATTTTATTAATTCGTAACTCAATGTTTAAAGAATATAATATAAAATAAAAAACAATACATTTCTGATCTGAACTGAGTTGCAACTGAACGTCTGGCCGATGGCAGCATTTCGAATTGAACTTGAAAATGTCTTAGCTTTTTAAAACAAAATTCAGTGTTTAAACTCGACTATATAAAAGTACACTTTAAAAAAGGTGAAAATATTTTCTGCATATAATTGATTAGTTCAGAGGTAATTTAGCTGTTTCGTATTCAGGAGATTAAACATAATTTCGACGCGAAAAATCAGGATCAGTCGAGATTTTTACTTGATTTATACTTGGAACCGCGATGTCGGTAGAATGGAATTTTTATTTACGTAAAAGTACTTAATAAGTTTTGTTGCAAACGAAATCAACACATTCTTGGCACCAAATACGTTTCTATTCTACATGGAATATAATTTTTGCATGTCCTGTCTCTTTCATTAAAAAAATTATTGGATCTAAAGAGCAACCACTATTCAGCGAGTAATTTTGCATTGAGTTCAGACAAATCAAAATAAATATATTCGAACCGAATAATGAATGCTGATGCTATGAAAGAAAATACATTATATGTACTATGGCTTGCCCTTAACAAACTGTCCAACTTAACTGAAAATCTGTGAAACATTGCCGCTTGAAAATCATGTTTTTCAAAGATAAGTAACTTCTTTAAAGTCAAACGCAGCGTTTCATTTTTAGATTTTTTTCACATACAGGAACATTGTTCCATTAGACAAATCACACTTGTTTTGCAAACAAAGACATATTTGGGCTTTAAACGCTTTGAAAAGTAAAAAACTGGCATCTTTTTCGGGCACAATTGGAACTTCTGCCACTACAAAAGTTATGCATTAAGGTACCAAGTATTAATTTGAAAATCGCATGCAGGATGAGACCTTCAAATGCTTATATCTTTAGGATATCTATCTCCCTAACCATTTAGGAATATTTTTACGTACTTTTGGAACTAATTGGGCTGCTGCTTCGGCGACTTGTTCTTTTTCCACTTGTTCTCGGGTCTGAGCCATCTCGGCTTGCTCCCGGAAAAGTGAACCGAATTTCTCGAAGAATCCATTATCGACCTGCGCTATTCTACAAATAAAAAAATTAAGTTCGCTTTTTTATTAAAGACAATTCCTTCTCATATAAGGCAAATCCAATTGAAAATAATTATTTAAATGAAGCTTAGAATCTTTTTAAGAATCTATTAAAATATAGGAAGATAAAAACACCTATAGTTTTTAAAACTGAGTATTTATTCATAAAATTATAGTAACATTAAATAATTATTATTACTTTATATTAACTATTACTAAAATCTGATTTAATTCTATTATATTGGAAGACTGTTTGGAAGACATCAGTTCTATAACCAGGTATAGTATGTAAATATCAATTAATAGATGCAAATTTGCAAAATTGCTTCTTATTGCTTAATATTTTAATATATCTGTTTTCTGGAAAACCATATCAACACATTCAGCAAAGGGTTACAAATTATAATGCGTCTAATGTTAACTATGAAACTTGCGTTTTTTTCCTCTGAGATAAACTTTCAAAGTATATCTTCCTAGAAACTCCGCCTTTAAACTTAAAATACTAATTTCGCAGGAACAGAATGAAACTGACAACTATTGCCCAGCAGGAACCTTAAGAGAGATTTCCAATGCAAGTGTACTTAATATAAGTATAATCCTCTATCCCTAAATAAGAGCCTTCGCGGCCCAGCCCTGATTGCTTGATTCCTCCAAATGGAGCTTCTGCGCAGGATATTAGACCTTCATTGACTCCAACCATGCCCACTTCCAAATTATTGCTCACTCGGAAGATCTGGGAAACGTCTTCAGAATAAAAATAGCCTGCAAGACCAACGTCACAGCTATTAGCGATATCTAGAGCTTCCTGTTCTGTTTTGAACTTGATCAAACTGATTATAGGACCGAAGATCTCTTCTTCATATACTAGCATGTTGTTTTTAATTCCTGTTAGAATAGTTGGTTCGTAGAAAAGTCTTCCGAAATGCTGTGCAGGCTTTCCACCTAAAACGAATATATTTTGTAGCCAAATTAAAACTTAAAGAAATGAGTGAGGATTATTCTAATTTTTTACTAACTTTTGGACTTTAGTCGAAAGCTCATAAATCAGGGTAGATGTAGATTTTGACGAGAAATTAATTGAGAATTGACCAAAGCAAGATTTAATGAAATGGCTTAGGAAATGTTTTGATTATTTTATATTAAATATTTTCTGCCGAAAATATTCTTAAATGTGTACAAAATTAAGAATATTTTAACAAATTGATTTTCAATTTTAAATTCACTTATTTTTATACAGTCGAATTTGAATTAACAAACTCTTCAAACAACTACCTACTCTACATTTTAAAAAGAATACATTGCAATATAGTAAAAAAGTCTAAGAGTTATTTCTGATTTAACTTCTATTCATTTTCATTTCCATTCATTAGATGATGAAGGAGCACATAAAAATACATTAAAATCATGTTTAATTGTTTTAACGGACAGTATGAAAGCACTGTATGCATGTGTATCTGTGCAGAAATTAAAGCCCTTTATTCTAAACTAATCTTTTCTCTTACAGAACATATTTTTCTTGCTTCTAGTTTATTAACTGAATTCAATAATTGACTACTTAAAAATAAATTGCCAAAATAATGATCATTGTAAATACATACCTGTTACAACTTTAGCTCCTTTTGAAACAGCATCATTAACAAAATCAGCTACTTTATGAAGTTGGGGCTCATTAATCAACGGTCCCAGCTGAACTCCCTCTTGTAAACCATCACCCATCTTCAGCAACTTTACTTTAGTTTCCAGCTTTTCCAGAAAACTATCATAAACTTCCTCTTGAATAAAGAATCGGTTTGCGGCGACACAAGTTTGCCCGCAATTGCGAAATTTTGCAGTCAATGCACCTTCAACTGCTTTCTCTAGATTGGCAGAATTGAAGACAATAAACGGGGCATTTCCACCAAGTTCCAAGCCCAATCTTTTAATGCCATGTGAGCACTGCTTGTAGAGAATTCGTCCAACAGAAGTGGAACCGGTGAAAGATATCCCAGCCACTGAATGGTGTTCACATAAGAGTTTTCCAATCGATGCAGTGTTTCGTCTACTGCTAGTAATGATGTTAACAACTCCTGGTGGGAAACCGGCCTCTTGCGCATATTTTACTATTTTCACTGCAGTGATCGGAGTATCTTCAGCAGGTTTAATGACAACAGTACAACCTGAAGCTAAAGCAGCTGAAGCCTTGCGAGTAATCATTGCATGTGGAAAATTCCAGGGCGTAATCAACCCAACAACACCAATGGGCTGATGTTGAACCAAGATTTTCTTTGAAGGCACTGAACTCGCTATGATATCACCTCTCACTTGGCGAGCCAACTCAGAAAACCATTCCACAAAAGAGTTGCCATAAATCACTTCTCCATTGGACTCAGACAAGGGTTTCCCCGATTCCAGAGTCATAATCTCCGCAATTTCACTCTGCTTGTCCAAGAGAAGGTTATACCAACGCCTTAATAGTTGCGACCTTTCTTTTGCCGTGGTGTCTTTCCATGTTTGAAAGGCCTTAAATGCTGCATCTATTGCGGCCTCAGTGTCTTCAACTTCCATGTCGGGTACAACTCCAATAACGTTTCCTTTCACTGGATTGTAAACTTCCAGGGTTTTGCCATTCAGGGCGTTTACCCAATTTCCGTTGATAAATGCCTTTTCGTTTAAAACATTGGCAGATCGAGCTGTTTTACTTATATGCATCTTTCGTACTTGTATTATGCTTAACCTCCAAGCGTTAGAGGATCTATTCAAGGCTCTGATAATCATGTTGATGAGTCTTATGCAAATTTAATCAAGTGAAAAACAAGAGTTCACTAATCAACAAAATGTTGTTAAATAACTTAACTAAGGGGGTTTTAAGTTGACTATTATTAAATCAATGAAGTAAAAGGATTCTGCGCAAGATAACCCATAACATATATCAGAGTAAATCACTTAATAATCATGAATTCATTACCTTTAACAAATCTCAATGGGTATAGTGAAGTTCGTTAAATAAATTGATTCACAAAACGTTCATAACAACATTTAAACTAAAAATTAACCTCTACGTCAGCTGTGCTGACAGATCAGCTGACGCTGGTCAAGGCAGGAGATGAGTATGGCTGGTTGCCAACGTTTGCCTATGATGATAATTATAATTACTACACTACAATTCTCATTGAATGTATATATTTTACTTTTATTGACTTATTAATTAATTAAAGTTGGTGCTGATATATGGCACAACCAAGTAGTAGAATGAAGCGACTGGTAAAATGCGATTTTACGAGTTTTAAAAATGCGCTCATGAATTTCTACAAGCCATTTTGTATGCTGGTACACAAATAATTAGTATAATATACACGATTTAGCAATAAATAGCTATAAAACTATATAAATTCCTGGTCCAAATACTGAAGAACTTTGACCATCATTAGCAGAGGAGCCAGACATTTTTTGTTTATAAAAGTTAGGTCAGATCGTCTTCTTTTGGTCCAAAGAATATCGCAGTACCCTTTTGATCATGAGCTTACGGGACACCCTGTAGAACGGATATATTTTATTTTAATGATGCCCATTTCACCTTTTTAAATTATACTGAACATTAACAACAATTACAAGTGTAACATTAAATAATACTCATTATCTGCACGATTAAATTTAGCCACAGGAATAGAAACGCAAGTGCATTTCCGCATTTTTTGGCTTTCTTCCAGACATCAATGGAAATTATTTTACACATTTAATTTAACTTAATTTATTTACGGGACTGCTTTTAAGAATTTTTATAAAGGTCGTCTATCGCTTTGCCTATATTAGGAAATTTTTTTAAGAAACACTTTTTTGTCATTAAAATTATAAGTAATTTTATTATTTTTTGGGAGTATTCTTATAGATCTTAAAGTGCAATGCCCAGTAATTTGGGATTATTATTAAACAGCAAAGTTGGCATTTTATATAACAGGTTTTTGAAAACAAACAAATAAGTAAAAATAGGCTTTTTAAATTATTTTTGATTACTGCAGGATATTTTTCTCGAGACAGAGCTTTTTTAGAGAGGTGAACCAAGAGCAATTTGATTCGTGTTATTGTAAGCTTTTTCATTTCATTCCCTGCGAATTAATATACAAAAACATATACACGAAAAATTGTAATATTTTTCTTTGCAGAAAAGGTGCTATAACAGTTTCAAAAATTCAAAATGCATTAATTGAAAAGCTACTTATCAGCTTTTGAAAAAGTCTGATATGAACCGGCGAATGATGTTTATGTATAGATTAACTTTTCCAATTTTTCTGCGTCATTTAGGAACATTAATTCTGTATTAATTAGAATTCTGTATACTTAGATATCTCATTGACCTAGAAAGATCGCTGCTATATACTGATATATTTTCGAAGTGAAAGATGACTTCATAGTTATTCTGGGATAAGAGTAAATACATCTGCTTTATTTAACAACTTTAATATTTTTCATATACCTACTTGGGACAGCAGTCGAGTCAGCATTACTTACTAGACTTATGAAGTGGATATGTACTAAATTCTGGTAACACTTACCGAATTTCATGTTCGGTTTTTTCAGTTTCATTAGCCGATGTTTGCGAATTCAACTTGGTGTATATTTGCTTCCACATCAATTCTTCACTCTCCATATCACCCATTTTCAAACAAGCAAATAATCTTACACGATCTTCTTATAGAATATTTAATTGTTATAAAGCTGGAACTACCAGCCAACGATGCGTGCAACTCGCGAACTACCTACTAACATTCATGTCGGTCAATTATTGCTAAAATTCCCGTGTTTTCTGACTCATTGTAATCTGGGGAACTGCAACAATATTTCTTCACACTCTAAGCCATTAACAGACTCCTTGTTTGTCCTTGTTAAATGTTATTGCAAAACGTGGGTAGAATATACAATTATACAGCCTGCATATATACCACACTGTGGTACTACCAAAATTATTATACCTATCGCTCGTAACGGAGATGAACGGTACCGTTTGCTCATGATGATATTGAAGCTAAATTTAACATTTCTACAATCACTTGCGGATCTCAGGTACTTAAGCATGTGGAAAAATTTGATGGTGACAATACTTTGCACTATTCGCTTTATAAAATACTTATTAGCTCTATATGTCTACAGCCGACAGAGAAGAAAGATGTGGATTATATTCTCACCAACGCAACAACAAATATATTTTTATTTAAGTATACTATATATAAGGCCAATAATTTTGCGAGATTAAAATTTTTTGGTTTGTAAAATAATAATGGTTTTACGACCAGAAGGAAAATTATACCGCGTGCCAAAATAATACCGTTAGATACTAACTTTCTTAATTTTAATTTAAGGACTTGATATTCAATATTTTATAGAAAAAATGTTGCTTAAGATTCGGTGAATTTTTTTAGAAATATCTCCTTAGTTCAAATAATAAATATATGTGTTATCAAAAATTAATAAATATCTTATTGTTATATGCCATATTTCAAAAAAAAATTTTATCTACCTATATCTATCGGGCGTTATAAAAACGTAGTTTTCAATGCACAGAATTATTAATCAACAAACTGTAAATGTATTTGTTATAAGTAAATAAATCTATCTAAGTTATCAAATCAAACTACAAAGAGAACGATTTTAAGCTGCAAACATGTACGTCCTACGCAAGTCTTGAGAGTTTTTGCAAGAGATTATTTTTAATTTAAAAATTACCAAGATTAAAAAATAATGTAAATAATTTATATCAATACATTTACCGTTTAATAACAATAAAATATAGGGTATACAGTACCGTATACATACAAATACGGGGTTGTTTTCCACCCTGTAAATTGTAATTAATATTTTAGTTTTGCTTCCAATTAAGAATCAATTCCCTATCTGAATATCAGAATGAGTTAAATCACTTAATACTAAGTGAAATAATAGAGTTTTTCACATTAGGTGCTGAGCAGAGTACTATACAGGGTGATTCACGGTCGATGGCGTATTAGACGTGGCGTCATGGCTGTATGTATATTATTGCACGCTTAGATTGGCTATATATATCTGATTATTTAAGCGGTTTCCAAAATATTTAAAAAAATTGCAAAATCTTCAACTATTATAACATCTCATGTACTCAAATACGTCGACATAATCGAATTTTTGCAAAAATGTCCATTTATTTCGGAAATTTGACTCTTTAGGTATAGAAACCTGATATATCTTTTCACAGGGAATTTAACGGTCTTCCCGTATTTGAACTAATATACAGGGTGTTCTATTTGAAAAAATGTAATTGGAGCAGTTTTTATCTCTAGCCGAAAGGTCAGTATTTTCAAGACATCATGTATAATTTGGAACAAATTGCGTATGCCGGGCTCAAGAATACGGTTTTCCTAACCTAGTACCAAAATTTTATATTTCGAGGGATCTAAATCGCGTTGTAATACAAGATTCCTGGGGGCTACGTATTGATTAAAAATAATGAATTTTATTTAATATTTCGGAAACCGCTTTAGATCGATATAGGAATTGTTATGCAAAAATAATATTATCTATATAGACAATCTAATCGTGCAATAATATACAGGGTGTCTCATTTAAAACATCAAAGTTGTATGTACTTTTGTGGGAATCGCGTTCTCCTTAAACGTCTAATACGACATCGACAATGAATCACCCTGTATCTCTAATTTAAAGTATGCATGAGGTGAATTTTTTTCTCTATCTAAAAGCTCATTAAAGACATAAACATAAGCTGATGAAATAACATTTAAGTTAAGAATAAAATGTTGGTAAATAAGACGTCGGTTAAAGTCCACTACAATTTATTTTCAAACTAATGTACATATATTTAATATATTTCATTCGATCTGCAGCACTGATTCAAGTACCTATAAAATTAGTAGAATATTCGACCAATATCTACAAAGTACATAGAAAATTTTATTGAAACCTATTCCTAATAGAATCTGGTTTATACATCTGTATATAAAATATTTTCAGTTCATCGCGGCAATCGGGTGCAGACGAAATTTCCTGCTAAATTTACATAATAACAGCTTTTAAGATACTTATAGAAAACCATCTAATGGCAATCTGAACTATCTAATATACTGTGAGAAAAAGTTGGCAATTATATTTTAGATTCAAAAATGGATGGAAAAAATTGAAGTATTTCTCCCAAATGCAGCTTCTAAGAGAAAATAGTGTTCTTGATAAAATACTCGGCAGTTCAAGAGATATCTGGTGGTATTTTCAAAATACGCATGATTTCGGAGAAAATGTCGAAAGCCTTGTAGGCAAAAAGCCGTCCAGATATACAAATGTGAAAACGGTGAACGGATTTTGAACACGATGTCAGATAAAAAGGGCCAAAACCCACGAAAAGTTTCACTTTCATCAATAAAGTGTTTGTCACTATTTTCCTAAAATAGCCAAAAATCGAGCTAGGGAAAATTTGCAAAAATTAACACATTGAAAAGTTTTTTAAAGCTTAATGCAATTTAGCCTCAAATTATTTGTTTTCACATAGACAACACAAATGTTTTTCGGGAACTCAATTGATTTTATTTCATATTCATTAATATCAATTGAATTAATATTTTAATATAAACATTTCTTGAAATTACTAAAAACACGCTATAAACTTATTCTCATTGAACTGACCTTTTATCTTCGAAATCTTCTGGTCGTTCCTTCTTTTGAACCATTGAATATATAACATTCCACATTTTGTACACGTATATTTAAAGTAGCCCTTCTACACGACTCATGAATAATTTGTGATTACTCCGAACGATGCGCTCGAATATAGTTCAACTCATCAACTACAAGGATTTTATGAAAACCCCTTTATTGCAACTTTAATATCAGGTCAATTATCCCAGATTGTTGATTATTCGCGGTATTTCCTTGCAAACCATCTGCCCAGTATCATGTGGGGAATTACTTTAGTGCGTTTGCTTATCTGAACTGGAGATTTTTTTATTGTGTAAATATAGAACAGTTGCACGTTGTAATAAAAAAAATGCACAAATTAACCGAATATTGAGAAAATGCAAATATTTGAACCAACCTTATTTTTCTCGTGTCTTGTACACGATTAGATTGCTCTGCTAATTTATTAAGCACTTCTTTCCACAGAATTTCTTCGCTTTCCATTTTAGCGATCACAAATAGCAGGCACTTCAAGTTTTTCAACATCCAAAAACGAAATACATTTGTCGATCCCCTCGAAACCTTGGTAAACGCACGACAAAATTGCTTCAACTAGATTTACAGACAAGACTTTTGAGATATTTGGTGCGAAGGAAAATTCTCATTAGTCATATCCTACGGCTTTAATTATATAGTACACAAAGGAGCCATTTAATGATACCACATTTTAGAGGAAATTATGTTAGTAGTTAGCTCAATTACAGGGTGCTTAAAATATCTACTGGTAAATTTAAAATGGTTCTTGTTCCAAAAATGGTTCTGGTCTTGTGTACAGTCCCAATTCAATTATGATTGCGATGAAAATATTTTCGCATAAAGTATGTAAATAAGCATCATAAAAGTTTTGTATACAGATACTTCTAAATACTGAAACAAATTTTTAACTTTTTTTACGGATAACAGTAATAAGTTAGTTTATATTTATTTGTAATAACAATAAATGCTTCATGCACAGCTTCAATAAAATAGCAGATGTTTAATGTCTCGTCCTTCAACTTATTCAAATACAATATTATTTGCATTTTCGAATGAGTCTGATAAATAAAATGCTAATGTTACAACCAAAGTCAAAGGCGTTGGTACTTAAGAGTCTAGAAATGAATCGAGTGTTACATATATTTTTAGCTAAACTTCCGTCTGTTGGAAAAGTAGAAAGTTACAATTTAAAATACGCGACTTAAGTTGTTACATAAAAAATTGACTTTTCTTTAGAACACTCTGTACGAACGTGCGAAATTTGTAGTCAAATTGTTTGTCTGTTTTGGTAAATCCCAAATATTTTTGATACCCCTCAAGCGGGACACCTTGTACATAATTTGTTATACCCTATTATAAACCGTAAACTAAAAGCATTGTACGCATGATTTATTACTTGGTAATATTGCTCATTAACAAAATATTTTTATGAACAGATACTTTAGATATGCCTCATAAAATCGGTAAGCACGCAAATGACTAAATAAGAAGCATCAATTGTACAATCATTGTATTTGTTGAGTATTGAGAAAGGAACTATTGTGGACGATTTCTTAAACAGTAGGGCCGTTTCAGTTGATACAAGTCCCCCGAGCAACTTAAGTATACTTCTACAGGCAATATCTACATATGAAACCAAAATTCAAATGAGAATTCTATTTATTTTTTCGATCCAAATGTAGTTAGTACCTATAGGGAAAATTAAGTGTATCAGCAATAATTACCTTGCAATCATCACAATACGAAAGACATGTGAATTTGGCCAAACTTTAAGTTTAAACTGTTTACGTTTCAGACATAGAACTTTTGCCAAATTATAATGGCGTCGCGTCGGCGTCTCGACGTTGGATTTGGCCTCCAGAACTTCGAACAATTCAGTTTATCCACAACATTCAAAAACTGTGGATATACAGAGCGCTAGGGTTTATTTAAAGAGTAAAATATCACTCAAAAATACAATATATAACAAAGAAACATTACCATTACTTTAAGACGCTCGTTAAAAAAACGATTCTACCGGTCTACCGGAAATTGCAAAAGTGAATAGTTTGTATATTCATATATCTATCTATTAATTTGCTTCTTTTATTCTTGTAAGTTACGCGCGTCTATGGAATGAATCCATTTTGAGTTTGATTTTTGCGCTATTAAAGAATAAATTACGACAATATACGAGGATAACAAGCGGTATTAAAAAGTATTTGGAAAAGACGTGCCCTCGCCGTTAGAGAGATTTATCACGTAAAAGTACGTTTAAGTAATCAGAATTATTATATGTGTAATTAAGTAGTGATAGTGTTATGAGAGACAGATAAGAGTAAAGTAAAATTTGTCGATTATCATTTAGAAAAATAAATATTGAAATCTATGTTATTTGAAACCGCTTTACTAGCTGAGTAAATGCAAATATACAGAGTGATTAAAAATCAGTGCAAAATAATGAGTGTGTTCGAAGCCTAAACTTTTAATTTGGCTGGTTAACATAGGTTTGAAAACTACGTGTTTCGAAAATTGCCGGTGACTGTGCATATAGAACGCGATTTTTTAGTGCTCTCAGTTGTGGGCATGTGGGTTAGAAACCGAAAAAATCCTGGAATCTCCCAGAAATTTCCTATCAAAGTGCCTTTTATCACACTTAAAACAGCGCATTTTCTCCTTCGATTGATGTTATTAGCCGGATTGTGGGATATGTGGCTTTTCCTTGTCAATTTTTTGAAAAATTTGTGTTATCCAACGGCCAATAGCCTCGCCTTAGTAACTGCAAACTCTAAGAAATTTCCTATTAAAGTGCGTTTTTCCACATTTAAAGCACCGCATTTGATCTTTCGAGTGATATTATTAGCCGGATTGGAAGATTTTTTGCTTTTTCTTGTCGAATTTTTGAAAAATTTGTGTTTTCCAACGGTCAATTGCCTCAGTAACTGAAAAAAATCCTGAAAACTCCCAGAAATTTCCTATTAAAGTTAGTTTTTCCTCAAATAAAGCAACAGATTTTTCCTTTGGACTTATATTAAGGGCCGCATTGAGGTTTTTTTGGTTTTACCTCGGCAAGTTTTTGAAAAATCGATGTTGTCCAACGAGCAATCGCTCCAAATTAGAATCCGAAAAAAACCTGGAAACTCCCAGAAATCTCCTATGTGCCTTTTACCACACTTAAAACACCACATTTTCTCTTTCGATTGATGCTATTAGCCGGATTGTGGAATTTTTGGCTTTCACTTGTCAATTTTTTGAAAAATGTGTGTTATCCAACGGCCAATCGAATCGCCTTAATAACTGGAAACTCGCAGAAAATTCCTATTAAAGTGAATTTTTTCTCAAATAAAGCAGCAGATTTTTGCTTCGGAGTTATATTAGGGGCCGGATTGAGGGATTTTTGGTTTTACCAATTTTACCGAATTTTTGAAAAATTGGTGTTGCCCAATGACCAATCGCTCCGATTTAGTACCTATCGGAAAAAATTCCTGGAAACTCCCAGAAATTTCCTATTAAAGTGCGTTTTTCACACTTAAAACACTGCATTTTATCTTTCGAGTGGTATTATTAGCCAGATTGGAAAATTTTTAGTTTTTTCTTGCCAAATTTTTGAAAAATTTGTTTTTTCATCGGTGTTGCCCAACGAGCATTCGCTTCGATTTAGAATCCGAAAAAAATCCTGGAAACTCCCAGAAATTTCCTATTAAAGTGCGTTTTCTCACACTTAAAACAGCGCATTTTTATTTTCGAGTGATATTATTAGCCGGATTGTGTTTTTAGCTTTTTCTTGTCGAATTTGTGAAAAATTTGTATTTTCCAACGGTCGATCGCCTCTCCTTAGTAACAGAAGAAGAAGAAGAATTTTTAGGCTTGAGAGATTTTTGGTTTTTCCTTGATTTATTTTTAATTTGTGTATCTATACCAACGGCCAATCGCTTCCCCTCAGTAACTGAAAACATCCTGGAAAGTACCAGAAATTTTCTATTTAAGTGAATTTTCCTAACTTAAAGCAGCGATTTTCTCTTTCGAGTGATGTTATGAGCCGCATTCAGGAATGTTTGGTTTTCCTTTGACGAATTTTTGAAAAACTCGTGTTTACCAACGGTCAGTCGACTCGCCTCGGTAACTGAAAAATCCCGGATACTTCCAAAAACTTCCTATCAAAAAGAGTTTTTCAAAAAAAGTAAGCCAGGGTCAGTAAGATAAGTCACATAATATATCATGTCTTCGCTGCGTTCGCCCACAAAAATATAAACTATTATTTAGCTGATTCTCTTACGCGCCTTCGAATTATCCGATGAATTAAAAAATTTCCAATTATTCACTGAAAGTTTCCGATTGCAAGTGTTCATTTTAGAAAGGCTTGATTTTTCCAAAGGTAATAGTTTATTAAGCGGTCTGGTTTGTCTGTCTGCTAATTGCGTTACACTTTACAATGAGTCACTAAATTTACTACAATAGGTTTAATGGGAAACTGTTCCACTCCAAGGGACACCAACGAACAACCTGTACTTTAAACATGCATAATACAGGTCGCTCACCCACATCACCGTCCATAAAACTAAAACTAGTAGATAGAAAGTTTGCTAAGGATATGATATGGATTTTGTTAGTAGGTAGGTACTTAAGGTCTAAATGAACATTGCTTGTTCATTTGATCAGCGAATATCAATACTGAATTACTTATTCTGAATTATACTGAATTGTTAGTAATATTAAACAAGTAACATTGTTAAGAGGCAAGAAAACAGAATTTTTTTTCCCGCAAACACTATGACTGCTACACAGGATTTCACAAAGTGCACAAAATTGTGAATAAATGAGTAGTGTATCAACCAAAAAAAAAAGAGTTGATTTCATCCACCAAATGAAAAGTTTTGGTAGTTTTTGTACCACGACCCTCAAGAATTCACGACTTGTCCAAAATGGATAAACTCGATTGTTTCTTCAAAATATGAGTCTTACATAAGAACAAATTCACAGTGAGTTTCACTAAAATACATCGTACCATTCTCCCGATATTTCAACAAAGATAATTTTTTTGAAGAACTTTAACCATCAATAGCAGAGGAGCCAGACATTTTGTGTTAATAAAAGTTAGGTCAGATCGTTTTCCTTTGATGTAAAGAATATCGCATATCCTTTTGATCATGTGCTTACGGTGTATACATCCCTGTATACATCGTGTCCGGCAATGATGAACAGAAAATTCAGGGGGTGATTCTACATGTAAAATCAATGTCTGAGGTTCAAATAGCAATTTTCCGAAGTCTCAAAAATAACGGAGATGCGGGGCCGTAACTTTAGATTTTTAGCTATGGTTATTAAATATTTTCTTTGCTTATTCACAAGTGTGCCAAATTTACAAACAATTGGCGATCGAAGAAATAAAATATTTAATACAAATTATTTTAACAATCAAAATTTAAGCCCTGCAGCACTGTATTTCTATGTTTCTTGTATAAAAGATCTCTTAACGTCAAGAATCCAATCGCGTCCCATAAATAAAAATTGATCTACACATTGAGAACAAGAATTTTTCAGATCTATAAATAATTCCGTAAGGTCGTCTATATCAGCAGTGGTGCGTAAAAAGCGTAAAAGCTCGTGGTTTTCCATGTTTTCCACACGGATAATAACATGTTAAATGTAGGGTATTTACAAAACTGAATGAACCTAAATAATGTGATAAGTCATCAGTAAGCAAAATTTTCCAACGTGGTTAATTTTTACACATTTTCAGTTTTTGAAAAACAACTGCGTATTTTATATTTATAAAAAATTTGCCTGCTCTTATTTTGTTAAATTTTAAAAAGCGTGATTTTTCCTATTGTATTTCAGTTGTATTTATATCAATATTTTCTATAATATTAGTTGAAATCG